GCCGCTGCCGCTCTCCTCTCGACCAATCAGAGGCGAGCGGCCGCCGGCGGCGCCGCCGGCGGCCAGGATAGCCGACCGTCTATATTTCTGAGCGGCAGCGGCGACGGCAGCCAATCAGGAGTCAGAACGGCATCACGTGTGCTCGTATGACGTAGGCGCGTCGGAATGTTTTGTTTACATGTATTCCCCGCTCGCGCTCGCGCAAGGTGGTTGTGAGTAGAGTCCTGGTAAAGTTTAACTTCGAAATGGCCAAGAAAGAAATTGACATTAGACTTGCTCAAGCAGTTGAGAAGTATCCAATATTATGGGACTGTGGAGACGACCTGTACAAACGGACAGACTTAAAGCCAGAAGCCTGGACGAAAGTGGTGGAGCTGGTCGGACCACCGGCGACAGGTTAGTTTCCAAAGTCTTGTTCTTGTTTCGAGTTCTAACGTTCTTATGTAGTGCAATGTGAATGCTTATTCACGTATTTTTGTGTCTGAAAAGCCCCTGTGTAGCTTTAAAGTAATGTCGTATCACTAAATATTTGTATTTGCTGGCTCTATCTTTCCAGAGGAGTGGGCTGTTAAGAGGTGGAAATCAATGAAAGATACTTTCCATGATAATCACAGAAGAGTGAGAGAGTCAAAAAGGAGTGGCGTCAGTACTGATGAAATTGTAAAGCCAACGTGGTACCTGTACAAGTATTTGACGTATTTGATAAAAACCTGTGCGCAGGCAATATCATCCTCTAACTTAACCTGAACAAAGCACTCTGCAGCTGCTTGTTAACATGCACTACGACCAATCACTGCAGGTTTGTATTACAACTGAGAGTCACTTTCCACCTCAGTAATTAAATTGCTATGTTCATTGGTTTTAACAAAAATATTTATGTGTCTAATTACAGAGGTGGATTTATATACCTAGTGAATAAAAGAGACGAAGGCATTTTGTCTATCCCGCTGGAAGCGAATGAAAATGAGGAATGAAAAACGACCTGAATGAAAGTACAAGCTGTACTGTTAGTTTGGGGCCAATTTCTGCATCTTCAATGTTCAATTTGGGATCCATGGTTCCTAGCGCCCTGCCTCAGCTCGCAAGCACACCAAGTCCATATTCGTGCCTGAACAAAAGAAACGAGGAGCAGATGATGACGATGAACATTTTTTCAACAAAAAAGGTTCATCAAAGAAAAACAGTAATGTTTTAGAACAAAAGAAACAGAATCCTACATTAACAGACTTGATTTCATAATGACTACTGACTTAAAAGATAAATTAAATTTTTACATGCCTTATCCTAGTCTCAAAATCCCATGGTGCTTTCCATGACCCATAAGTTGTCATGGAACTGTTGTGGCTAGGAATAAGATTCGAATAATGGCACCCCTAGTCAGCTGGACAAGCGAACATCGCCGATCTGTCGGGCAGAGACGCGATCGGAACTGCAGTCCAGCTGACTAAGGGATTCACCCCGCCAGTTTAAGCCGCCCGGACGGAAGGGCAGCGGCCTGGCCGGGGGCAGGGGATGCCAGGCGCAGCAGTCGCCCCGTAGAGCTGGAAGTTGGAGGTTCGTGTGTGTTACTAGCGACTCGATAATACACGTGTTTAGACCATACTCCCAGTCAGCCATTATTCCCTGACAAACCCGTAAAACCCACTTTCACAACAACTGGTGCATCAGCCGGTGTCAGGATAATTGTTCCTGGGTAGTAATTTTGCAAAAATTCGCGAATTTCTGAAAAAAAAATTCGTGTGATCGTGTGCGCACCGCGTGGTGCCACATGTGTTTCTAAAATCTGTGATTGTGAACCATCCTTGCTAAATTTCAAGTCAAACGGTTAATTTTGATTTGATTCCTTTCTTTTTTTCCTTTTTCCTGTGTACTGGAATGGCAACCCAGTATTTTCCGAGCGGGCGGTGAGGCTACCGTCTGCTCACTGTTTCCTCTTCCTTGTTTCAATTTAAATGTAGTAAAAGTGGCGACACTTTTTTTTTTAACCTGTTTGCATAGAAGAAATTAGATTAATCCATTCTTTAATCTTGCTTAACCTATCTTACGGAGTTGGTGTGCCACTTACCTTGTTGTGTCAATGTTTGTTTGCTAATCCAATCGTATTTATTGTTGCAGATAAAAATATTCAAACTCTCTCATTTTCAAAAGATGCATTTGGTGCATATCGAAGGGGATATTCTCCGGTGCCCCGAAACAATGTCAATCGCACATTGCGTCTCTTTTGACGGAAAAATGGGGGCTGGGCTGGCGAAAACACTTCACCGCCAATTTAATCTTCGGGGCGATTTCCTGCTGGCTTCTCGAAGTGTAGGGGGAGTTGTGGCGTTGCGCCGTGGAGAGAGGTTCATTGTTAACTTAATCACTAAGGAACGGTTTTTCCATTTGCCAACAATCACAGATTTCGAAGAATCTCTTCCGAACGTTCGTAAATTTTTGATTTTTAATAACTTTAAAGAGTTAGCAATCCCGGAGCTAGGGAGTGGATTGGACAAATTGGATTACGATTTGGTCCTTCAGACTATACAACGTGTATTTAAATATGACCCTGTGACGATTTAGATGCATCACTTGGTCTAATAAACCGAACCTCCACTTCTTGCTGGGCGTCTTACAATGTAAATTTTATTTAATCTGTTCCAGGGGATGTGCATGACGAAATGGCTGTTATGAACATATGGATCTACGCTGTGGTGGTTGCATGGTTGATAACCATAGACCTACCATGTCAAAATGGCATTTTTCTGCCCGCGCCCCTTGTTGTGGCAGAAACAAAGGGGGTGCAGGTCAAATTGGCACCATCCAAAGTTGCTATGGGTACATTTAATCTCAAATTCCAAGTTAATCCACCGTCCATGGAGATCCAAATGAATAACACCCGTAAGAACTGTACTGCTAATCTCTCTGGAACCAGAACTCAAGTTTGTAAAGTCCTTCATAATATTGATATCATGTCCTTCAAAATTTTAAGGGAGTTGGAAACTTTTTTTGACAGAACGGAAAACATGGCCGATCTTGGTGTAAAACGAACTAGACGGTCACTCCTCCCAATTCTTGGAGAAGGTTTTGGATGGCTGTTTGGCATGAGCACTGACCGCGAATTAGACAGAACCATTAAAGGAATCAACCAAATTGGTCATAATTTAAAAGATTTAGCAAATTCGCACCAAACTCTAATTAATGCCACACAAACAAATTTTGGAATACTGCAACAGCACCAAAGTCAATTAGAAGCCAACATGGATCATTTTTCAAAAATCTATAACAGACTGGTCGTTGAAGTGGGAGACTTGGAAATACAATCTGAACTGCTCGCGGTTCAAATAGTTAGCACAAATACCTTGTTTACCAAAATCAACATTTTGCAGACACATCTTTTGGCTCTAAGATCAATCTATGATAAGTGTCAGGACCATCTGTTACCCAAAATTGTCATTGATGAACGTAGTTTGCGAGCAGCTTTGACGGGCCACCAAAAAGTTCTCGAGGAGAACGCCCTGAGATTTGTGTATGGTGTAGAATCTTTATCTGAATATTATGCATTGGAAACGGCAACGTGCACTCTTGTAAATAAGCAAGTCCTTGAAGTAACTTTAAGTTTACCGTTAACGGACGCAAGATCTGAATGGCGTGTTTTGGAGATTTTGCCGCTCAAATTCCTGCACTAGGGCAGCACTTGTAATATTGTAGACTCTCCTGTTAAAATTGCTTCCAATGGTGTCGAGATCCGCGACTTATCAATTGTAGAAAAATTCGGAGATTTGGATATTTTCATGTTACCTCGAGAAAATTCGCAATCCCAGATGTCCAATTGTGTACATAAACTGTTGAAACAAGCGAATGTCCAAGATATTGCAATTGCCTGTGAGTTAAGTTGTACTACAACGTACCATTCCACTGTTCAAAGACTTGGTAACGATAAATACTCTGTCCTTAATCCCGGATCCGATATAGCAGTTATATGTAATAACGTTGTCAAACACAAAATTCCTACAGTAGAAAATGGCCGAGTGGAGGTAATCCTCCCATGCCACTGTACTGTACAAGAAATGTCCGGTACACAGCTAACTCTAATTTCGACCGTACGAACATGTAACGCGAACCTAAATAAAAATAATACTTTGAAAGTAAATATGGATTGGGCGTCTGAGAACTTTGAGCCGTACGAACTATTCGCTAAAGCCAGATCCTTCGAAAACCTGAAGATTAAAAACTTGACCAGTGTACCAATAGCTTTAGTGAAAGTGGAAACGTTTGATGGCAAAGCCATTTCCTCCTGGCAAGGTCTACCCATTACATCAAGCGGATGGGTGGAAATATGCCTTTGGACAATATTTATTGTCTTATTGTTCGGACTATTGTATTTGTATTTGCGATTTAAATTGCCGTGGCTTGCAATCAACTGGTGCGTCAATGGACCAAAAATGGATGCACCTGAGACTTTCATGATGAATCGACGTCCGTCCATACGGCCTCGCCGCCGGAGTAATAGTGAACCTATTTATGCAGATGCGGGAAATTTGGTTTGAGAATTCTTGTTCATTGTTTTTTTTTTTTGTTTTTTGTAATTGTAATTGTAATTGAGAGAGAGAAACTACTTATTTTTGTATTTTTGTATTGTTGTATTGTTTAAGGTTTTAGATTAGGGCGTCCGATGGTGCACTGCGAGGCAGCCGTACCTCCGTATGACCCTCGCCGTATATCTGCACCACTATGTCCTGCGCCGGCACTACACCAACTGCGACGCCATGGTGTTTGTCTACTGCACGACTCCGAGGACGTCGTTCTTCGTCGTGCCGGGCCAACAGCAGCTGGTGGTCCATGCTTACATTAGGGGAAGACCAGTTAATGAAGAAGAGAAAGACCACTAGTAGTGGTACTAAGTAACTAGGTAGATGTACGCCAGACCACGTCTCGCGTAACAGGCTTCGCGATATCTCACGAAACACTTGTTAGGATGCGACGAGCCTGGCATACATCTACCTAGGCCTGCGGCGCTGACACCCGATTCGGGCCAAAGTCGTGAGTAAGCACTCGACCCCATAAGTCACAAATTTTGTTCTTCGGGATTTTATTTTTACGAGTTACTTTACTGGAGACGAACAAATATCTGATAAAAAACATAGAAATGTTTTGCGGTCATTTTCGTGTAGAAAACTCCCTCTGGTGTCTAAACGGTTAAAAATAGAGCCAAATGGGCGAAATTTTCGCCCAAAGGGCTCTACTTCGGTAAGTTACCCCCTAGGAAACAGTAAAGAAATATTTTCAAAAAAACTTTATTTTTGGGACCTGTGGTTTTTGATTTTTTTTTAAATCCAATTTTTGAGCTAGAATGCTCTTCTTCGAACTCGATCTGTCTTTTTATGACAGAAAACGACCCTGAAAATCCCAGGTCTCTAGCTCAATTCGTTCTCGAGTTATCGTGCGCACAGACAAACACACAGACACACAGACAGACAGACAGACAGACAGACGCGATACTTTTTGATCATCACTGGAGTAATAGGCTTCGCTAATCGCTCAGCCAATTAGAAGAAACGATTTGGAACGTCAAGAAGAAAATAAATAAACCAAAAGAGAAAGTTTAAGAAGAACAGTCAATACTAAAAAGAAGAATAAAATTATTACTAGGTAGATGTACGCCAGACCACGTCTCGCGTAACAGGCTTCGCGATATCTCACGAAACACTGTTGCGCTGCGACGCGCCTGGCATACATCTACCTAGGCCTGCGGCGCTGACACCCGAGTC